TTAGTTTTATTCATTGCCATAGAATAAAGAGTCAAATCAATAATGAGGCATTTTCAGAAGATAGGAAGCTTTGTGCTGGGAAAAGACTGTAAGTAGCTTTTTGTGTCAGAGAAGCTCCAGTTCTGATGACAAAAATGACACCATAAAAATGGAAGCAATAAGCATAGCAGAGGAAGGGCTTCCTGAATAAACGGCCTCAATCCAAATTAAATATTTGTTGTAGTTAAGAGTCTCAATGTCTGGGTATTTTATGCCCCAAGGATCAAGGTATGATACCAGCAAAATAAGTTTCTGCTCCTGTATACAAATGATTTGGATGGAGTGGTTTGGACCTTGCATGATCACAGCATCTTGCTTCTGTTGAATGAAGCAGCCAATATTTTCAGACTTCCATTGCTTTAAGTAGTTGACTCACAATGTAACTCTCAAAGCAGCGGCAACTTTTCAGGCTCACACAGAAGCCTGGAAAAAAAAGAGGTTGCTTTAATGAGCAGGAGAAAGGTACTGTGATCATGCAAGGTCCAATGAACTCCTTCCAAAACCTTCTGAAAGGGTGCTTAGCACAGTATGTGTTGTCCTGCTGAGTCAGGGTTTTTTCCTTGCTTGATGCTTCCTTAAGTGAAGAGACTGATCAACAATCACTTTGGAAGATAAAATAACTACATTCTAAGAGGCATGAAAAGTCAATTCTATTTGTTTTGCACATTAATACATGATTGTAATGTAACTGCCATGTCACATCCTTAAATTATATTTCTGCCATTTGCAAGCAATTCACTGTGTTTCTATTTAAGTACAAATGAAAAGTTCACTCTCTCCACTTAGCTAAGACCAAGGTTTATCCTGGATTATCCTGTCCTTTCTTTTTTTTTTTTCAACTTCTCCCTTTGCTGTGTTTTCACAAGTCATTGTCACTCAAACATAGGTACAGTAAAACTGCAAAAGGGGCCATTAGGAAAGAATAGCTGTAAGTGGGCATCTAGTTAGTTAGGCTCCGTCAAGAAGAGAGAAGGGAGAAGTAACAACATGCTCTAATACAAAACCCTTTCCTTCTAGCTCATTTCTGGAAGTAACATCCACAGATTGCAAGCCTGTGTGATTGGTTAGCTTTGCACCTTGAATGTGACAGATCAGTTCTTCAGTGCTTGGACCCTGACCATCACTCTTTGGAACCTTGACTGGTTTGGACTACAACCTTGGAATAGCTACTTTTTGTCTATTTTCCTGGCCTCAAGTAACCCTTTCATGGAATTAAACTTAACCTGGAAATCTATGCTTTTTCCACTCCCAATTCCGAGACAGAGCAGCACTATATACATTCACAAACTATTTACTGAAGCATGTTAAGGTTCTATTAGCAGGACACCTGGAATCTTCAGCAGGTACCCAAGGGCACTAATGAATCATTGGATAACTCCATGATCAGGCTGCCAATCTTAATGTCTTCCAACTTCTAAAATATTTGAGTGTGTGTTTATGTTAAGAGCTGTCCTGCTGCAAAGCAATGTGCCAGCCTCCAGCATTATTCTCATTTCCAACAATGCCTCTGAATTCCTAAGTGGCCCCCATACATAAGTGTCCTTAAGGGGAAAAAATGGCTGACTACAGACCAGTGCTTTGTTTGAAACCAAGCCCACCTGCCCAGAAAAAAACAAGCAAAATAATAGGGAGTGTCCTATGGGAGGGGCTGGAATAGAAGACTGCTACTAGTCCACTAAATTGGTGTTTTCTCTCCATCCTCTTGCAACTATTTTGTGAGAGCACTCACAGCATGCTCTCCACATTCCAAATATGCCTACAGACTAAAAAGGTTGAGAATCCCCATAGAGCACTATTTCTATTTATTAATGAGTATCTAAAGACCAAACTCATTCCAATAGTGCCTAAATCATTATATCTTAAAATCCAACAACTGTGATTGTTTCACAGGTAACATCCATGATATATGATTCAATTTTAAAATTTAAACACATAGGAAACACTATTGGGAATAAAGGCACATCTACAAATAAGCTTTCTAAAATGTCAACAAATCACCAGTAGATTTACTGGAAGGAGAAAATCATCAAATATTTCATGGGACTATCAGAAATAACCATAATAAAGGAAATGCAAAAAAAAGAGAGAGTGATGTCTATACAAAATTGTCTGCTTTTCCCACTATAACAAGCAAAAGAAGATAGATTTCATGGGATGGTCTATAGCTGTGTTACATAAAGAAAACTACTTCTATTAGCTCCTTTATACTGGAGCCAATCACATCTCAAAATGCCTCCAGATGTAATTTTATACTTAAGGTAAGTTAGATAAGATGCCAGAAAAGAGAGATCTCTCTACATGTTTATGCAAGTATGAGGATTCCAGGCATATTGCTAAATCAGCTTTGCTACTTGGTTAGTAGTGGCTGGGTGAAAAGGCTATTTTCATTGAATCGTCAAATTGGAAGGGATCTCAGAGGTCACTGAGTCCAATTCCCTAGTGCAAAATCTGCTAAAGCATTTCAGATATATGGCTATCCAGCCTCTCTTTGAAGACCTCCAGTAGAGGGGAACATGACACTTCATAAGGCAACCTCTTCCACTATACAGGTAGTCCCCAGGTTAAGAACACCCAGTTTACAGATTATCCATAGTTAAGAACAGAGACTACTGTAGCAAAATTTGAGCTAAATACACAATGGTTCAAGTTCATTACAGACTACTCCTTATACAATAATACAATAATGCTGTTCTGGCTTACATAGAAGTTTGACTTAAGGACAGACCTTGGGAACAGAAGTTGTTCTTAAACTGGGACTATCTGAATCCATCCAGCTTTAGCCCATTTGTTCTAGTTGTGTCACAGAACAAGTCTACTCCCTCCACTACATTACAACTCTTTATAAATCTGAAAACTACTGTCACATCTCTCCCCAATCTTCTCTTCTGCAGGCTAAACATAGTCATCTTCTTTGTTCCTTACAGGACTTTGTTTTCAGCCCCCTTACCAACTTCATAGTCCCCCTCTGAATGTACTCCATTTGCCCATGTTCTTTTTTAGAATGTGGTATCCAGAACTGGACGTAGTATTCCAAGTGTGGCCTGAGCGAAGCAGAGTACAATGGGACAATTACTTCCTGTGGCCTGGGCTCTGTGCTCCTGTTAATACATCCCAAAATAGTATTTGCTTTTTAGCAGCTTCATCACACTATTGGCCCATGTTCAACTTGTGATCTACTAGAAAGGGATTATTTCTGCACACCCAAAGCCAGGTGGCTTTAAAATAAGACTCTTTTTTAAAATAAAACACTTCTTTTGTTCCCCCTAGTGAGACTTAATTCACACCTCCAGCCTCCCAACCCTGTCATCTGGTTTGTGAGCTACTGGTAGTCTGTGGTCATAGTTTCTCTTGTGTATTCTAATCTTTTCCTTCTCCCTACCCAGCAAAAACATCTTTCCTCCCCTGTGGACCATATTCTAGAGAAATCTGCATATTCTTTTCGAGTCTTCTATAAAAGAAACTCTTTGGCTATTATTGCTGCCTTCTGTGTCAGGCAGCCATCAAGTGCATTATGACTGTCAATGGACAAATGCAATGCAAACAGTTACGTATGCAAGCTTTTCAAAGCTCTCAGACTAATGGGTCATTTCTCCCTATATCACAGATGGTCTTACACTAGAAGGTGTAGTATTGTCTGCATTGTGTGTAGCAACTTATGTATTATATAGGAGGGCAGAATCTTGCTATGTTTAATTTGGTTTTTGTGGGTCAACAGTGTAGCCATAGATTATAGGTAGGTGTCTGGAGTATTATTCCAACTGTGTTTTTCACAATAGCATATTGTACTGCTGTTATGACAGGATATCTACCCTGCATGTAAATGAAGGGAAATGGCATAAACTGGGCTATAGGTACATCATTAAACTCATTAACTTTTGGGGAAAAAAAATAGCAAGAAAGAACAGGCTCAGTATAGGTGTACTTTTTGTGTCTTCTTATACTGCTAGAGTTTTCATAATAGATACTGAGTTCAAACAGAGAGAGAGGAAAAAAGAGAGAAAATCTCCAACTTAGCAATCACAAAACCATGCAAGAGATTATGTTTATTACATTCCAAACAAAGGGATGGAAGGGGCTTGGATCCAGCTGAGGCTTCTATAAATGGAAGGTGGATTTTCACCTATTCTGCTTTCTCTGCCTTCCATTCTATTACACAGGATGATTGAACAGGTGATACAGAGATCCAAGAACACTGACTTTTCCTGAATGGGATTCTATTCAGTCTCTCTCATATGAACCTATTCAGCTTTAAGGTTCTCCAAACATCTGAGGTACATTCAGCAGAGACTCAAGGGAGGACTTTCCTTGTCGAGAAGAGGCCGGCTAGCTCTTTTCTAACAGCCTTCCCCCCAAGAACATTTCATTTAAACACATTCAAATTAGAACATGAGCAAATAAACTATATCCCAATTTATTTTTACAGATTGTTTTTATTAATTTTCACAATGCTTGTGCCTTTTTTGGTTTTATCTTTATTTACATTTTATTGCTGTTTTATTGTATTTTATTATATTTCTATTAGCAGTGGCCTTGAGCATCTTTTGGTGGAAGGACAAATACAAATTTAGCAAATTAATGAACTTCAAGGGAGGGATGTGGAAATTCTGCTTCTTATTACAGAACCCACACAGGGACAAAATTTACTCCACAAAGTTCCAAGACAGATTTGAGAGTGCAAATGGGGGAAGAGAGCAATGGAAAATCCCACTGCATGTACAGAAGTCCTCTGGTGTAATACTGAACCACCTTACACAAATTTTCAGAATTTTACTACAACTTTACTAAACATTTGAAACTACTTAAAATTTTAATGAAGACAATTTCTCAGTGCCATGCCAAAAACATTACAGAAACAGTTTATTCCTCTTCAGTGTTTTGCCATTTTCTTTCTTTTTTAGACTGTCAAACCATGCAGACACAGGGTTAAATATTAATATTCAAGAACTTGGAAAAGAACGTACCTGTCAACTCAATCTGTAACTTAGTTATGTCTTTAGCTGCAAGGAAATGTTCTTTGGCTTTTTTATACTCATAATAATTCAAAAATGTGTAAGCACATTCTAGATGAAATTGAACAGCAAGATGCCAACATTCATCATCGTTGAACAAAGTCTCAATTTCAAAAACTGAAAAAAAGAAAAGAAAGAAAAATCAAGAAACAGAATAAGAAAACATAATGAAAAGCAGAAAAATACACACCAGATTCACTACTCCCAAGGCAAATAAACTAACTTTATTTAATTTAATTAAAAGCAGACCTGCCTGAGCTCTGCATTTTCATATACTGAGTTTCAGGAACAAAGTTCCCAGTTTGGCAACCTCCAAACCTATTGTTAAGGATGATACATAAACAGTCTAGAACCACCACCTCCCTTCATTTTCTGTTTTAACTTTTGATGGTCAGCTTTTGTGAAACTATGAAGCCTGAAACCACCTCAGGACCTGCTAAGGCCTAATTTAAATTCCATCTTATTAAAATCCACATTCCATTTTACTATATAACTTTAAATATTTGAGTAGATGATTTAACCTTTAGCCATATTTCCATCTGTCTCCTTCCAATATGTACTACAGATGTTTTATTAAGAGCAACACAGCGCGCTCGCGCTCTCTCTCCCCCTCTCTCCCTCTCTCTCTCTGAGGGACAGAGACTCCTTATTAGTTGAGACCAAAACAATGGCTAAGTCGTTTATAAGTTGGTTTGAAGTTGGTTCTCTAAACCTGGTTTCAGCAAATGACAAGTAGCATTAACTTCAGAGCAAATATTATTTTCAGTAAGAAACAACTCTGAGTGTATAAGATATATAGTACTGGTAATACATAATCATAAGTGAAGATGAAATGGAAGGGAGAAAATCTGTAAGGAAGGGAGAGAAAAGAAGGATCAGTTCAACATGTGGAATACTCCCAATGTCAGTCCTAATCAATGAGTGAGAAACTCTTCATTACTCCATTGGCCCAAAAAATGACAATCTTGAAAAAAAAGGCATTGTTTTCCTGCGTATGAGTTTCTTCTTCAAAATCCACATGCAAACATTTATACCAGAAGCAGTATTTTAAAAAATAGATACTAAGAAACAAATGCTTGATATAAACTTCACATCTTTAAGAAGATGAAAAAATGCTTATTTTTAAACGAATTTAAAAGAGTGGATGAGTTATAGGCATGTATTCATCTCCAAATAATCTGATTTCCCAGAAGTAAAGCAGTTTACTTTTGAAAGGTTTAAAATTCTCATAAGCATCTGGTCAAGGACACAGACAAGATAAAGAGTAATAAAATCTTATAGTCAGAGAATAGGAAGCATGTGGCTTTATATCTGTTTTCAAATCCAAGAGGAACTGGATATGGATGGATGGATGGATGGATACCTACACACACACACACACACACACACACTCTCCATAAAAAGCTGGATGTGTATGTATATATAAAAGAATTACAGCTCTGCACTCATGAACTGAATGATAGCTCTAAAATATTTTCTATTTAAGAAACAAGCATCATTTTACATGTTTTACAAATGAAAGTCACAAGATACTAGTAATAGTGCAATGATGTAATTTCTATAAAAATATGCTTAGCATACTGACAAATACAATATGCTGTAATATAATAAGCTTTTAAATATGAGAAATCCTGGTCTAAAGTAGAATGTATTATCTTGTGAACCTAATTTGCCTTATTTCCTAATTTGCCTTTATAGAAGCATTAGTCAGCATTACTACATCTTATTTTAGAACAAGATTAATGTTATTTTGTAAGAAGAAAAAATAAACAGGTAAACTGCACATTATCTCAAATAGCAGCATCTTACTTTTTTTAAAAAGTCAATTTCTAAAGTTTATTTATCACCTGCAAGCAGAACATAAGGAGAATGTATTTCTCACCTGTACAATGAGGCCACATAGAGTTTTTTAGCAATTGTTCAAGAATTACCAAAATCCAATCCTGAACACTCTGTTACCTGTGCTGGCTTTTGCTGATTTGGGATAAGCCAAAATGGGATCACTTTTGCCGGGTTACTATTTTCTTGTTGGCCACTGTGGGAAACAGCAGGTAGGTCTTTGAACTGATCCTGCAGCACTCTTAAGCTTAAGGAACTGTATTGGATAATTATTCAGTGATCCAGTTTCAGAGAGCAAAGGTGATCTGGAGCGCACACTGGCATGCTTGTTGCACCTGTCAGCCATTCCTTAATGGGTCTGTGTCTTCTTCTAAGATCATGTAGAGAAGCCATTGAAAAAATGTGTTTGATTTACGGAGGTGTTGACAGGTGCAATATGTGCACATATGCATACTCCAAAACACCTTTTCCGCTTTGAAACTGGAGCATTGCATAGCCTTAATGTACTGGCTTAATCTGATACAGAACAGACCTGGTTTATGCAGAATGCTAATCCAGGATTTCATCAATGTAACAGGGAGCTAGTTGAACATCAAAACACATCTTTTAAAAATTATGAATTTTTTTTTGCACTTCAGTTTATAAATCTTGACTTGTTTTAAACATGCTTTTACGTCCAGGGGCAGATCTTTGACTTATTTCTGGTTTGTCTTGATGTCCTACCCAAGCCTCTTCCCAATTTAGAACTGCAAAGAAAATACAGCTAAAAATAAGACTGCTGAAAATCAGCCTGTGTTCTCTTGCTTTTCTTCCCCATTAAACTTCTCATCCTTAAGGAAATGGCAAGGATTAGATTTCCAACTATCAAATTGCACATTTACTCTCACAAAGCACAGCCATTTTTTAATTTCACCAACGGGGAAGTGATCTTGTTGAGAAAGAGACATATACTCTCTACATAAAAACTCACAACATCACAAACACAGAGACAAAGCATGTTGCACAAAAACCTTTCTGCATAAATACCCCTCCAAGCCACATAAAATTGAGTACAGTACTCAGCCAAAAATCACATCAATACCCACAATGTTTTTTTAAAAACAAAACAAAACAAAACAGGAGATAGACACACACTACAAGAACCTGACAGCCAGTTTGGTGTAGTGCTTAAAGCACCAGGCTAGAAACTGGGAGACCGTGAGTTCTAGTCCTGCCTTAGGCACAAAGCCAGCAGGGTGACCTTGGGCCAGTCACTCTCTCCCAACCCTAGGAAAGAGGCAATGGCAAACCACTTCCGAAAAACCTTGCCAAGAAAACTGCAGGGACCAGTCCAGGCAGTCACCAGGAGTCAATACTGACTCAAAGGTGCGTAAGCACACACACGCACACACACAAACCCAGAACCACACACACACCTCACAAAACACCTGCAAATGCATAGCTAATTTCTCCCCATAAAAACAGAATGAAGACAAAAGAATCCCCCACCATACACTGATAAAAATACATACCCAAAGACATAACATCAAAAGGCATACTCCCACAAACATAATCAAAACAGTCCTTTAAAGTTGCTCATCAGGAATGTAAAGGAATCCTCCTAATGTAGCTGAACTACCAGCATCTCTCAGTATTACCACAATAGTTCTACAATGTCTAGAGGGCTACTGATTTTCCACTGCTATACTATGGCATTTGGGAAAGCACTGTGATATCTTTCCTGGGCTTAATCAAAGTGGAAGAAGCCAGAGTCCCTAGTTCAGATGACATGCTAGACCAGTGTTTCTCAACCTTAGGAACTTTAAGATGAGTGGACTTCAACTCCAGAATTTCCTAGCCACTCATCTTACAGTTCCTAAGGTTGAGAAACACTCTGCTAGACAATCCATGGACAGAGCTGACCACAGCTCATTAGCCTCATCCACTTCTAGGAATAGCCAGTGACCATGATTTTAAACACGATGGCCCTCTGAATAAGGATTTTCTAAGTCAGAAACAAAATGCATTGAAACTCATTTGCTCCTAGGATTTTCTCAGAATAAAGAGAATCCTTAAAAATAAGGTAAGAGCCTTCAGGGTTGCAATTCAATCCATTATAAACTAAGAATGACTCTCCATTAATATTTGATGTCAATGTTAATTATACCTTGTTGTATACAGGCCTGGGCAACAGCAAAGAGTTCAGGTGATCTTTCTTCTAACAGCTGCTGGTGGAGATTAATACATCGTAGTGTCCACCAGGGCAATGTCTAAAAGTGAGAAGAAAATATATTTTCAAACATCAGATCCACTTATTTCCATCTGGTTGTAATTCATGCACATGGCAGTTAAACAGTGAGAAGATCTCAAAAAAAAAAATTCTTCAAAGATCATGGCACCTGTAGTATATATTAAATGTTAATGTTATTAGTATTTGTGGTTTTACTTATCTTTTATTTTAACTTGTAACTTTGCACTTTTACATTAGGTGCCCTGAGCAATTCATGAACAACAAAGTGGGATATAAATCCAATAAATAAATAAATAAATAACTTGATGTACAGATCAGTGACCGAGCATTTGCTTTTCTGTCCAAAAATGCCAAGTTGAGTCACAGGTCAGGGAGAACTCAGAAAATCTCACAAGAAGGGGCTCACCAGGATCTGAGATCTCAGCATCCACAAAAGTGAGCTAGCAGGGCAAATGGATCAACCAGTTCAAAGGACCTCCCAATATTCAAAACGTTATTTGGTATCTCCATACTTGCATTAGTTCCCTATTATTAGGAGAGAATAAAACAGTATCTAAAGGAATCTTATCCTGAAAAACATGGATATTCCCTGACTCTGTAATGTTCCTAATATGGAAATAAGAACAATTATTTAATGATGTTTTACTTTACCTGAATAGCTTCTAGTTTATTTCTGGAATTCACAAGGATGACTCTAGCCAGCATCAGCAAGATAGGCTGGGAGGCCAAGCTGTATACTGATTCGCCATCTAGAACCAGCATGCCTAAGATAGCAGTCGACAATGCACTGTTCTGGAAACAGTAAAAAAGAAACTCTATACTGGTCAGCTTCACATTATTTTATAAGACTCAATACAACATCCATGTTAAACCACCATAGTTTAGAGACTGTGCAATGTTTTGGATTTAATTTCGAAGAGATGCTTTGTATCAAGTGGGAATGCAAATGCAGCATCTGTCTGTACCTCAGTAAAGGAGATATATCTTTTTTGGCGGTTATGCAGCTGCAATAGAAACCCTGCTGCAGTGGCTATGCGATCCTGGAAACAGATGCAGTTGCTTTAATAAGTGACATACATTGTGTTTGCACTTCATTCTAAAACATTTTGCTTGAATGAATCCAAACCACTACAATTTCTACAAGCGGATATTCATACTTCTGTTCTCCTCTTCTAAAAACACCTGCTACAGATCACATAGCAATTATTTATCACCATCAACAAATACGGTGCTTTCAATATTAACTGATATAATAAAGACTAATTAATAATAATTAGCTAATATATAAGGATTCTACACCACCAAACTCTGATTAAAACACATTTTTATATGTTGCAAAAAAATATTTTAAAAATATTTTCAGGATTCTATACATTATCGATACTGAAAGAGACACCAGAAATGAATATAAATATATTTTCAGGAAACTCAACATATTCCTAATAGCTGTAGTAAGACTGTGAAGTTCACAATAGGAAACATGGTACTCTTCAAACATTTTGGACTAGAACTTCCACAGTTCTTTGTCATTGTGCAAAGCATTCAAAGTGAGGTGTCACAGGTTCTTTTTTAAACCGTACCCAATTAGACTTGACCCAGACTCAAAGAGAGACACAGAAGCACTGGACCCTAGACAGGTGGTTTCTTTATATCTCCTTAAAAGGGTTGGGGAGATGTTTTATTTTGTAAAAACAAACACATAAAAGCGATATGCGAGTGCTTCCTATATTCTGCCCTATTGCTATCTCTGTACTATTACTATGATCATTACTATTACTCTACTACTATTACCTATATACTGTGCTCTAAGCTATTACTAGTACGCATCAGCATTTCTTTTTTAAGCCTGTTCTGTCTTAAGTCCCCTCTCTCTGAGATTTTTTCTTCTTTTTCTGGTAATAGCCAGCATGGAGGGCTCTTGCACCTCTTTTATGTTGTGCTTTTGTCTTGCTGGGCCTCCATGCTTCTTTTCCTTGCTTTTGGACTGTCCACTCCTTCTGAAGGAAAAACGCCTTCTTTCTTTTGGCTGCTGTACTCAGTTTGCTGGTGGCTGCAGAGCTCCAAAACACATGTCTCCTCCCACACCTGTGCCAAGGCTGCAGCTTTATTGGCCACTCTGCCACACTGATGCTGGGGGAAAGGCTCAGATGGGAGGGGAAGGCAGCAGCACAGGGGCCTGCATTTTTGCTAAGCAGCCTGCTTTTCCACAGGGTGTTTCCCAAAGGGCTTCTTCTCACAGTGCTGTAAGAACCACATCCTCTGGAAGGCTCAGCATGGCTGCTTCACAGTCTTTATTAGGGTCTGCAGACATACATACATGACAAATGACAATACTTTCAATGACAAATGATGCAGTTATGTTTGAACAGGATTGTAGAAACAACCTGGAAGAGCCCTCAAAGCAGCTGGGCCAAGCTTTCCAGAGGATAGGACTGTTCCAATGTGTTGAAAATGGGCGCACTGCAAAGCATCCCTTCAAATGCTTTGCATAGCCTATTACCTGACTTACCCAGTAACATTTGTATTTTATGCTGCTTCGGGGACCTAACAAGGATCCCAAATGCAGTGTATAAAACAAAATACACTGGGCTACATCCAAAGTTAGCTAAGTTCCCCTTGTACAACAGCAATCTCTTCTGCTCCCCATAGGACAGATTTCACAGGGAAGGAGAATCCAATCCACCAGCAATGATTGCTCATCTAATTTGAAAGTGGGGCAGTGGGGGAACATACAGGCATGACTTTAATTAAGAACAAGAAGCAACATAAAATGATAACAATGAAAGGATCTTAGAGTTAAAAGAAGACTAAACCTTTGATTGCATATTTTAAAACAATTCATAGCTAAGTAAAATCAGAGAATGCACCCAGATGAAGCATCTGTTCCACCAGCAGAACTTCACTGGATACAATCCAGGATATTTAATCAACCAATGCAGTCCAGAGGACTGTCTCTATATACCAGTTAAAATAAATCCACTAACAATAGTGCACATAGGAATTATAATAAATGAATTGTGATATTGCTTACAACTAAACCTTCAAAAACACAGCCAAAGAAGAATGCAGTGTAAAGACCAAGATCAACCTATAGTGCATAATTACAATTTATGCTTATGTCTTTTTCTTTCCTAGCAACATACACAAATCAACATTTAAAACCTGAAATTAATGGGAAAAATGTGTGTATAACATTAGCTGTATGGTACCCAGTATTATAGTGGGAAAGTATTTCAGAATAACAGAAGGGTTTCACAAGTTTCATACTGTGAAGAATCCAGCTGAGTTACAGCAATTTGCCATCTCCCTAATACTAAAAAGAGCATTTTTCAGTCACCCAACTACTTGGAACTGAGGGAAAGTACCTCATTATATTGTTGTAATATTTCAGATGGAAGAAAATCCTGAGGTTGTAAGTCAACAGGAGGTCCAGTCCAGTTGCTCTGCGCAAACAGCTGTAAGCTTCCTACTCCAAGGAGAAACACCACACTTTGCCTGCAAGACACATGAAGCCATTGTGTTGATATATAAATGAATACAGGATAGAAATCTACCTTCTTTACCAACCAACCTATAGCTTATATAGAACATTTTAGAAGATGTTGACAAGATAAAAGATTTAATGAATGACTAAGAAGAGCTGAAAGCCTATCTAAGTAGATATGCATTTGAGGAAAACCTTTCATATATTATTTTTCAAGGAAAGCAACAGGATTTTGTCCTCCTAAACTCAAGAGTAATCAGACCTCACCCCCAGAGTATACACTGAGCATCCGGGAAGCCCAGCAAACAGCTGGATTTGACCTTCCCAAACTTAAGTGGAACTGCAAGGAGAGTCCACTGCTGTTATTCCAAACCAGCAGAAGGCAGGAAACCTCACCCCCTTAAAGCAGAAGAAAACAATGCTTGGATAAAAATGAGCAACAGAAAAATAATTCCAATTAATTAACAAAAAAATGATAATAAAAATGAAGTTGTGGGGATAGTAAAGCGCGATCATCCTAACATCTCTTATTTTATCCGTGTGCGCGTGCAAGTTTAACAGATTAACCAACAAAATAATAAATAGTGCGTTTCTCCGTCTACTCAGGAGTAAATCTCACTTATGAATTAAATGTGTATCAGTATGTGGATGAAGAGTTCTTTAAATAAAGTGACAAACCTAAATAATGGCCTGATATAAGCAGACACTGGATCAATAAACAAAAGACCATAAACAGCAATAGCTGTTCTACCAAAGCAATAAAGATCTTCAGAATTCCACACTAACAATACTGTAGCTACATGTCCACATGCAGGTGGAAACTGGCATGTACAAATCATCCATGTGAGTTTATTAATTGTTACTTATTAATGTTATGAAACAATGTATTTTTATAAATTGAATATTATTTTATAAAAAAACAAGATATTGAGAAGTTTTTCACCTCATAGCACTAAACAGATAAGGCAAGAAATCATATACATTCTTTCTAATCTATGTATCATCACACTTTTCCTACTAACCACAATCAAAACTCTGTCCATAAATGGGACTACCTCATCTTTTCCTCTCTACCATAGTTTCCTTTTAACTCCTCCTGATTATTGAGGACGGCATAAGGAGAAACCTCTGCTGGTCTCCATTCAGGTCTCCTTGGATACAGTTGATTTATTACAAGGAATACAACTTCCTAACATTTCAGAAGTGCTAGAAAAGCCAACAAACCTTTTCTCTATATCAAGTAAATCAAAGCCTATCTTTCACTAATTATTTCACTTACGTTTCAGATGATGGGACTCTCTGATTTCAGCAGTAAACAATTGTTCTCAATTTTCACAAAAGGATTTCTCCTTATATCAATTTATTTTATGCATTTTCCTATTTTCTTTTTCCCCTGCTACAGACTCACTCGCTCTTTATTAATGTGCTTCCCTTAAAATCCCTCCAAATTAATAATATTCTGAAATCCTAATAGCCAAATTCTCAGTAATACAATATAAACAGTAATATGCACCTAAAAGTTTAACTTAAGATTTGAAGTAAAAAGCTAATTAAAAAACCCAATTTATTGCATTTGGAATTTCAAAGCAATCATAACTCTGTGCATGTATCTTACTAGACTAGTCACAGATGATAAATGAAAGTTAGGATTTCCTATATTCAGAATTTGCAATATTTTCATATGTCTTTCTTTGTGGTAATCCACCAAAACTACTGAATAAAAATAGTGAATACAATTAAAACACCATGCAACTAGGTAAGGCACAAGAGCAAACTTTAAAAAAAAGTTGTAAAGACAATACACCTCATATCTAAGTCTCCCTTAAGGGACCTGTCAGACATAAGATTAATACCACAAGTTACTATGATAACTACAAATAGACCACAATTTATTAAATCCTTAATCCACTAAATACTAATTTGACAGGCTAAATTCACATCACCCTTAGTTCTGGGTTACTGTGAAACATAAGACTAGCCATTTGTGGTTTATTTAATAAATCATGATTAAACAAATTATGGCTTGGTGTCATGTATGAACCCAGCCATTTATCTTTGAGGTGAATTTTTGTTTTGGTGAGAACGTAGGCTTAAATATACAAGAATGGCAAGCTGAAAGGCAGCAGATTAAACTAAAGTGAAATGCATCTTCATTTTTTCAGTAATGTCACAGGTAAAATATCAAACCCAAACCATAAATTGCATGTAAAAAAAAATTTTTTTTAATCTGTTCAATCATGTCTGATTCTTGAAAACTGCCTGGACAAATCCCTGCAGCTTTCTTGGAAAGGTTTTTCAGTAAAATATTAAGAAGCATTAAAAAAGGAATGTTTGTTTATTCAATGGTATTTTAGTTGCATGCAGTACAGTCTGGGCAAATACCAGCAAGTGGATATAGTAACTGAAAAGACACAAATAAAAAACTCAGAAATCCAAATTACTGAAGTTTGCAGGTACATTTCCAGTCAAATGTGGAGATATGAACATGGAGTGGGTTACGGTATATCTCCTTTCCAAATTTCTCCTGAAACTAAATGGAAGAGCAAAGGAAGAAACAAGGTGGGGAATGCACTTTGGGCAGTTAAAGCAAACACAATTTTCTATTATTGCAAACCTTACATGTTCAATCTATGTCCTAATTCATCCCATGAAGCTAACTCCTTGACATATTACATTTTTCATCACTATAGTAAGAGCATGGAGGGACTGAGCTAATCCCACATTGTAGTTGAAGCCAATAAAAAACAACACTGAACGCTACAAATACTTGAAGGACACACTCAATACTTTCTGAGATCATTTGAAATTGGGCATTAGGATGCGGGGGGGGAGGTTGTTGGGTTGTTGTTCAAATTCAAGCAAAGTACTAATCCTTTTCCAAAACAATGCTATTTTTACCTTTCAATGGAATCAATGTCTGCCGAGGAACAATCCAGGTAAGCTTGTATTTGCTTTTCTAGGTAGCTTTCAATGGTGTCCTCTTCTTCTGAAGATGTGGTGAAGACATTCTGGACTGCTTTACTTAGAAAGATGGACTCATAATTCCCTTCCAACAACAACTGCAACAACGATCCACTTTCTAAAAATTAAAGTAATTAGAGTGAGTGACTTAAATATGTCCTGTATTTTACATGGTTATCTGACACTACGACATCTCCTAATAGGAAAAAGAATTGTATATACTTCTCAAAAATGTCCATTCATATTAACTCTGTCAGAAAAGTATTCATATTTGATTTTTATCCCATACTTACTGAATAAGTACTAAACCAAAAGAAAGTAGTGGATAAAGAAGAGCACCCATGAATATCAAGGAATCTAATGAATCTTAGGTCATCTCATTTGTTCTTAAATATTCTTTGCAAGATTATTTTATTTTTTCAAGTTGTATTATTCCTTCTCACCATGAAGTAGAGGGGGAAATCGTCAATATAATTGATAATCATAACATCAAACACAACAGCCTTCTAGATCTGCTAATACTAGACCTCTGAACAAAGTATGGATGAGACATTCTGGAAAGGTTTATGGTATGAAAGCAAAAATACATTAGTATAGAAATACAGCCTGAGATCCAATTATTGCCATTAGAGTTGGGCAAAAGATAAGTAAAGGGTACTGTAAATTAGCCATACTCATTATGACAGTTGCAACCCCTTCAGTACATGGTGTCCAACAGAAGAGGGTTTATGATCTATTAGAGCTGTAATTAATATGTTCACCTCACTCAAGAAAAATCAACAACAGTTTGGGTGGAAAAGAGATTTCTATCACAGAAGCAGGAAGAGGAAGATCAATGTTAAAATGCCGAACACAAAAAGCAAAAAGCATTATTATGTGCTTAAGTGTGGCAAAAACAGTAAAAAGGGGGGGGGGCTGTTATCTGGGTTTAGAAACCTTTCTTGTCACACGTGATAGTCATATTAGTCACTGAGACTCTGGCACTTGAAGTGTCTGTTTTCTCTGTGGGGGGAAGAAGGGAGGACAGAAAGCGGCACGGTTTGGCCTTGGACGGAACACCTTGGAGAGCCTCCAATACACTGGAAGGAAAACACCACGTTGAGGAATGAGCAAACTGGCTGTCGAGCCAGGGTCACCAATCCAGACCCTTATCCTTCCCCATCCCCGCCCTGCCTCAATACGCCTTCCCAACTTTCACGGGGGTTAGCGTTCCCGACGGATTAGCTGACTTTTAAGAAACCATAGAAACACGTTTCCCCGGCAGGCGTGTATCCTCTCCCCGCTGCACCGAAACCCAAAGAGGTAGCCGGGAAGGAAAAAGCGGGAGGGGGGACGGGAAGAAGAAAGGCCCGCCCTCCCTCCTCTCCCGCTGCTAAGTCCAGAGCGCGGGCGAAGGCGGCTGAGAGCCACCGTGGCGGTCAGGCAGACGGCGCGAGAGGAAGGCAGGGAGAGGGGTGCCCGACCGGGCTTACCTGCCGCCG